CAGGAGACTCATGTAATGGTACAAGATCCCAATGATGAATGTAACTGTATTTTATACCTAAAATGTACCAATAAACTTAATGGGGGGAAAAAAAAGTAAAAAAAGAAAATGTTTATGGCAGCATTATTCATAATAACCAAAAAGTGGAGTAATCTAAATGTCCATCAACAGAGGATTACCAAAATAGAGTATATCCACACAATGGAAAATTAGCCATAAAAAGCAACAAAGTATTGATACATGCTACAACACTGATCAACTCTGAAACCATCATGCCTCAGTGAAAGAAGCCATGTGCAAAGTCCACAAACTGTATGATTCAACTCAATGAAATGGTCAGAAGAGGAAAATCTGCAGCGATACAAAGTAGATCAGTGATTGCCAAGGGCAGGGAGTGAGGGGATGTAGTGAACAGTAATGGGAATGAGGTTTCCTTTTGGGGTCATTCAACTCTGTAAATACATTCAAAACTACTAAATTGTACACTTTAAATAGGTGAATTTTAATGGTATGTAAATCACACCTCCATACAGCTGCTATTAAAAACAAGCAAATACATACATCATAAAAGAGGCCTATGGTTTATCTACTCTCTAAATCTAAGGTTTCAATCAATATTTATGCTTTATTAATTTAGAGATTAAGAGATGCTAAAGGATTATTTTGCCACAAAAGGTTAAAAATATTATAGAAAACACACTTTATTACAGCCTAGTTAAATGTAAAGCAAATGCAAATAATTCAATTCAAGAAACATCTTGCATTTGTTATAATGATTTGATTAATGTCTACATTTTTATAGATGAGCATGGATTTACATATTAAGAAATTTGTAACTGGAACCCAGTATAGAGTTAGTGAAAACTTTTGGTATTAAAGTCACAAATGATAATCCTTCAAAATAATACTACTCTAAATAAGATCGGGGACTTAAAATGCTTATTTAATCTTCCTGCTGAAATATAACCAAATACATGCACATTCACAGCTTTGTAAGAGGATCTTAATGAATTGCATACATGAGGTACTGAAGATTGAACCCAGACCCTTCACACTGAGCTACAACTCCAACTCTTTTTATTTTTTCTTTTGAGACAAGGTCTTGCTAATTTCCCAGGCTGTGCTCAAACTTGTAGTCTCCCTGTGTCAGTCTCCCAGAGTGCTGGGAAAACTGGTGTGCACGACCACACCCAGCCAGTAAGAAATATTTCTATTTGATAGTACTGTATACACCTTGTACCTCTGCCATCAACAAAGGTGGAGCTTTCTGCCTCACAGGGTAACACACTCTAGCTGCCAAAGATAAAATCATTTCAGAACAGATATCAAAATGTCCTTGTGTTAATTAGTTTTCCCACAGACAATACCATTAATAATTATTCTAAACAGAGCTACCACAGTAGCACTGGTGACTAATTGTTGCAAGTCTTTTTTTCAATCTAAAAGCAAGACAAGGAATACAGTTGGGAATGAGACACTCCTCTGTCTCATCTTTGGGCCAAAAACAGAAGTCACCGCCTTCAGCCCTAAATGCAGAAAGCCACATAGCTGGTTAACACTGGAGTCTCAGCTCTCAACTTCCCACTTTTGGCAAGTCATTTAGCCTCTCTAGAAGTTCAGTTCCCCTCTTTCTTTCTTTATAGTCTACCATGATCCCTAAAGAATGTGAAGCAGCTGGGTTTCAGTCTATTTTTTTAAAAAATGAGGACAGAAATAAAAACATATTCACAAAAAAACTTGCACATGACTGTTCATAGCATATAAGAGCCTGACTCTGGAGACACCCAAATGCCCATCAACTCAGGAAGTATTAAACCAAATGTAGGATTATCCATACAGTGGAACATTATTCAGCCATAAAAGTTAAGTACTATATATCCTGCAACATGGATGACTCTTGAAAACATTATGCTATGGGCTGTGGATTTAGCTCAGTGGTTCTGCCACCTGCCTCAAAAGTGCAAGGACTGAGTTCGATCCCCAGTACCAAAAAAAAGAAAACATTATGCTAAATGAAAGTAGCAGATAAGAAGGCCACAAATTATATTCTAGTTGTGTGAATGTCTAGAAGAGGCAAATCTAAAAGAAAGAATACTTGCTGGAGGATGGGAGGTGGGACTGGAGGGTATCACTTAAGGGGTTCAGGCTTTCTTTTGGTGCTGTGAAAATGTTCTACAATTGATTGTAGTGATGGTTGCACAACACTGTGAATATATGAAAAGCCACCGAATCATATACTTTATATTCTTTAAATGGGCATGTGAACTCTATTTCAATAAAGCTGTCTTTGAAAATAAAAATAAAGATAACTGATCAACACCCTGGAGTCACCTCTAGCTCAATCCATGATTTAACAGATTTCCTGCTTACCTGAGGTCTGGAAGTCTATCTCAATAGGATTGGAGAGGCCGGTTGCCGCTTCCCGCCACAGGTTACCCCTGACAGGCGACCAGGCTGTTACCATGCAGCGGTACAGTCCTGCATCTGAGACCTGAGTCTGGTACATTCGATAGCGAAACTCATCGTCCTGCACTTTCTCTAACACAACACCATCTACCCGTGAAGCATCTGTCCAGTTCTCCAGCTTCACTACAGCATCCTGGTCCAGGGAGATGATAGGCTTTGTTTCATTGGGACTGGAGAAGTCCCCGACAGGCTTCTCAGCTGTGATGAGGACAGAGTAGCGTGGTGACTTAATATTCTTGGAAGATACTTTGCAAGTCATCTCAAATGTATTTCCTGAAGCAAAGACAGGCTTTGGCTGCCTTGCCTTCACCACAAGCACGGAATCTGGAATGAAGGACCAGAAGGAGGTGATTTTCAACAGGATCAGTCAAAATGGTTTGTATCTAAAAGCAAAATGTCAAGGAAAGAGGAATTTATTTGCACATTACCATGTAATAGCACTAATGAAAATGGGCAAACTTCCTAAGTGAGCTGAACAGCACCACACAGGAAGAATCAGTCTGAGAAGATGTAGGGGTTGCAAGGAGAGAAGGAACTGATGGTGAGATTTTGTGATGCTGAGATTGTGGTTTGGAGGATTTTCAAGTCCTTGAGACATTTCACTAGGAGAGAGAATTCGAGGAGCTAACGGCATCCCCAAAGATTCATTAGTGAGTTGGGGAGGGCACAGTTGAACTCAAAACCTAGGCCAGGGTTTCAGCCACACCACTTGCCTCTCTTGCCCTGAGCATCTGCTGAGTTCAGGGAAAGCACTCTGGCTAAGCTAGCTGTGTGGAGGAGCAGAGCCAGAGGGAATCCTAGGATGGTAACATTACAGAACAGATTTAGTATGAAGATGATGGAAGCACATGCACCTGTAGGTCTAATCACTTCCACTTGGTTTACACTTTAATTTCAGAGATGCTGTTTTAACATTTTGAGCCAAGGTCACTGGCTACACTAACGTTAGGTTTAAATGTTTTCTTTCTGTTTGCCTGTAAAAACCATAATCTCTAAGCATATATATATGTGTGTATATATATATGTATATATATATATATACACACATACATATATATGTTAGAATTCATCTATTATAATGGCACAATGTCAGGCATGTGGAAAGTACTTAAATATTTTTTGAATAGATAAATAAATCCATTTGATCCAATCTTTTTATCCTTTATTACAATGATTAATTCTATAATCTGTTCAGTCAGAAGATGAGAGCTTTATGTTGGGTTTTTTGGAACACTAATTCCACCAAGCCCATTAGCAGAGCATGTACACTACACTGTCTCTCTAGGATCACTCTTTGAGTTTGGTCATCCATTTACTCGTTGAACAAGTGCTTACTGAGAGCCTGCCATACTCTAGGTACTGGGACTACAACAGTAAACCAAGCACACAGAAAGCCCTTCTCTTTATATCTTAGTGGAGGAAGACAACCAAAATAAATAAGTAGAATATGTGGTAAGGTTAGATGGGGATCATTTAAGGAAAAAATATAGACAAGCAACAGAAAGGTATAGGGTTGTGTATGGGGGGTACAATTTTAGGTAGAGTGACCAAGGACATTCCCTCAGAGAAGACACCATCTGACAAAGGTCCTGAAGGAGGAGAGGGAGTATGCCTTGCTTCCTCCTGGGGAAAAGCATTCCAGATAGAGGGAACAAAAGTTTAGAGTAGGAAGGGAAGCACATGCCTGGAGGTCTGTGGATCTGGGGAAGGAGAGTGGTCCAAGGGGAATAGGCATTGGGGAGAGTTGTCGGTGAGGCCAGAATGTAAGGGGGTCAAGAGCTATAGGCACACAAGGCCACCGAGAGGACTCTGGGCAGAACCTCTGAAGGAACCTCTGAAGTTTGAAGATGATAAGTTTCATGACCTGATTTGCATTTAAGGGTTGTGCTTGCCTAGCATGAGTAAGGTGCTGGGTTCTATCCCCAGTACCACACACCTCACACAAAAAGGAAACAAGAATGGGGTGTCAAAGATGAATGTTTTGATGAGAACTACTAAAACAATGGTACTAGACAAGGTGAGAGAAGACAGAAGACAGAAGAGAGTTGGCAGAGACCAGAAGTGCCATTTTGAACGGAAGTCTGAAATGCCCACTAGACAAGTCTAAGTGTCAAGACAGCAACATAATACTGAGTGTGGAGTTCTGAAAAGGCCCTAGGGAAGAACTGTAAAATTGGGAGTCACTGGTATACAAAAGGTATTTGATTACTATGTTGAATTGGCATTGTAAATAAATTAACAGCCATATTGGTCTAGAAAAGTTAAACTCAATTTTGTTTTCCATTTGTACGGGGGTAATGCACTATATTAAGTATGTAAGGTCTTACGTGGGTTTGATTACAGAAACTAGTAAAGTATTCTCTAATTAAAAAAAAAGGTATTTGAATTCATGAAATCAGAAGAGATTATCAAGGGAGCTGTTAAGCAGACTAGAAGTCCAAAGACCATGTCCTGAATTTGTATAATCCTTGAGATTAGAGAAATCAATAGGAATCAGCAAAGTAGACTGCGAAGAAGTAGCCAGTGAAGTTTGGAGAAAGCCTAAAGAAGGTGGTGCCCCACAAGGCAGAGGAAAAACCAAAGTCTTTTCAGAAGGAAGGAGCAATCACCTGTGCTAAATCCTGCCAAGTCAAGTAAGATGACTGATGAGTGGATTTCGTAATATGTTAATCCCTGGTAATCTTAACCTGTGCAGCAAGGGGAAAAGCCCAGAGAGAATGGGAGGAGAGAAAGTGAATACATCAAATATAGATAAATCAAATATTATGCCTCCAAAAGTAGAGTAGGAGTTATGAGGAATAGAAAGATGGAGGCAAAAGATCAAGATTAGTTTTGCATTTAAAAAAAGGTAGAGAGAGTGAACCACAGGTTAATAGGTCAATGGGAAAGGTCTAGAGGTGAGAGAAATATTGAAGCCATAAAAGCAAGGACCGTGTGCAAGAGTAGTGAGAGGGCCTGGCCTTTTCTAGGACATAATGCTGAATAACATAGGTTCAGCCACTTGGGGTAGAGTATGAGGAAATCCTGATTGTTCTTTTAGGGAAGAGGAAAGAGCCAACAGCTGATGGAAGAGATCTGCAGAAAATAGTATACAAATGTCACTTAGAAGTATGGGGGAGTAAATAAATGCAGAATGACTGCCAGGCAATGTTGAGAACCCACTTGACACAAGGATCACAGATTTGTAGTGAGATTAACGTTGTTGAAATGGTTTCCTCCAACCACATTTAGCTATGCAGAAGCAGGTAGGGAGGAAGCAGAAAGTTGGCTTTGAATGGGGCTGGGGTTTAGGCAGAGTATAGGGAAGTTATGGATCTATGCAGGGGAGTGATATGATTGGGAATTTAGGGTTGATAAGTGATTGACCATAACTCATGCCACCTCCCACCCTAGATACATCTGAGACCACTTTCAGGTGTCATAATAATTACAGAAAGATGATTAGAGGTAGTTAGGTCACTGAAGAGTACCTCTTGTCCCTAGCTCTTCCCCTCCCTCTCTGCTTCCTGTCTGCCATGAGGTGAGGAGCTTTCCTTTGCCAACCTTTCTGCTGCCTGTTTCTGCTGTGCCACAGGTCTAAAGGTGATGAAGCCAACAGACCATGGATTGAAATCTCTGAAACCAAGAGCCAAAATAAACATTTCCTCCTTTAAGTTGCTTTCCCTAGTATTTTGTCAAAGTGATGGAAAGCTGCCAAACACTACTATTTAATGGAAGAAAGAGGAAGAAACACTCAGACATAGGGTTCAGGAGACAGGAGTTTTTGCCTAATGACAATGAGGTGTAGAGCGGCCTTTTTGGCACTGGGAGTATAGGACAGGCAGTAGTTGCTAAGTTGAAAGAGGGCATGGATAGTAATGTGGTGACTATGGATTCTTAGTGTATGGGCATTGATTCCTAGTGAATGTGCACCTGAAAAATACAACAGAATGACTTAGGCAAAATCAAAACAAAACAAAAATGGATAATGAACAGAATAAAGCTCCCACCTTCTGATGCCCAAAATACACTGACAGGTTTGGAGACCACATCCTTGCTCTTCACCCAGCTGTTGTTCCGCTGTTTGGTCCACGCGGATACCACACAGTAGTAATTGCCTCGGTCCTCCTCTGTAGTCCTTTGGATCCGGAAATTGAATGTGTCTTTGTGTGCCTTAGAAAAAATAAACTCTCCATCTTGGGCCCGTTGCTTGCCCCTCTCTCCGTATCTCAGTGTCCAGTCCCCGTCCATGACTGCTAGGAGCTCACGGGGCACCACACTGTCGCTGCGCCGGTTCACTGTGTAGTACCATGACACGGTAAAATGGACACTTGCCTCCGAGTTCTTCATGTCCACGACCCGGCATTCCAGTTCAGTGGGATCATCTGAAAAGCCGGGGACCTTAGAAGCATTCAGGTGCACCTGATAGTCAGGTTCTGAAGAGGAGAGGGAGAGGCCAGGATAAAAAAATAATCAGAGCAGCACACAGAGAACTAGCTGAAGGAATGAGACAAGAACTGCTCCTGCTCTGACAATTAAATTCCCGATCCTTCCGACACCGGGATAGAAATCAGAGACTCTGCACTGGATGGGAAGCATTCTAGGAGAGTTGCTATAAAACATGTAAGACACTTCTATCTCCCCACTGCCCAAGAAAACTCCCACGGCCAGAAGTTAAATGTCTTCAATCAGAACCCTGATCCTTCCATGGGACTGGAGTCAGCTGCTGGTTTCTGCAGGAAGTTGAGTCTTTGAGAAGATCTTATAAGAAGTGCAGTGTCCATGCACTACCAAGCAAGACCTTAGGCCTTCAGAGCTCCCACTGGAACAGTACCAGAAAAGTTTGTCACAGAGAACATTCCAGAACTTGAGGCTCACCAATTGACCATGGCTCAGGTTCCTGCTACCCTTTGCTACACCCCAAATGGCCCTCAGGTCATTTCCCTACACATTCTTATCCTCACTTGGCTGTTCCTCTGACTCATTTGTTGAATCTGCATTCAGCCAAAAGACACCCCCACTAAGGTGGGCGTGGTGGTGTATACCTATAATTCCACACTCAGGAAGCTGAGGCAGGAGGGCTGCTGCAAGTTCAAGGCCAGCCTCAAGTAAGTAGCAAGACGCTGTCTCAAAACACAAACAAAAAAGATACCCCCACCCTCAAACTCCCCAAAGGGTGTTATTTTTACCGCCACAAGTAACTCAGCCTATAGCTCTGCTGAATTGGAAATCATCTTCTCAGAAATTTGTGACCACTCACTTCTTTGCCTGGCCCAAATTCCCACAGGAGGTGGAAGAAAAGCAAGTGTTCCTAGCATGTCCCCTGCCTGTGTCATGGTCCTGCTGTTCTCTTGTACAAAAAGAATTCCTCTTTCCTTTGACATTTATTGTATGAACTTAATCCATTTCTCAACACTTCCGTCTTCAATGGCCCTGAGGTCTCCTTCACAGTTGCCCAGGACCTGGTACTAGAACTCTTTTGTAGCCTTCTTTCCTCTCCCTCCCCTCTCTGCCTGTGAGCACTAATTACCTGGGGTTTTCCCACTGCTGCACAGTCTCATGTCACTCATGAGCTCTGCTTGGGATGTTCTGCCAACTTCCACTCACTCTTGAATGTTACCTGGGTCCTGGTTGCCAGGGTGACACCTTCTTTGTGTTCCCATATATATACTCCTATAACAGCTGCCCATTCCATTACTCTTTGCTTAAGAGCCTCATCACCAAGTTGCAAATATACTGCATTGTATATAGTAGGGACTCAATTTACGTTTGGTGCCTTAATGCTAAGGTTTTTTTAGAAAAGGCTACCTTACTCTTCTGTAACACTTTGTCGGAGTGCCAAGGAGCAGAGCCCACCCTAGCACAGAGGAGGTGAGCCTCTCAGGCCGCTGTACCACTGCCCCAGAGCTCCGAGAAGAGCCCTGCCCAGTGCAGAGGAGGTGAGCCTTGAGGGTGCCAGCACGCCCCCTGCGCGGGCCCCCCTCCCCCCGCTCTGCTGAGCCATTACCTGGATACACAGCACGGAGTTGCAGGGGTCATAAAGGACACTGTTGTGAGCTCAAGAAGATAGAGCAAAAGTGAACAATAGAAAGAGAGCCTCTCTGAGGCTCCTTGATGAAAATTAAAGCCCACCAGCAAAGTGAAGAAAGTCTCTGCAATAAAGGCACACCAGACCACCTTAGTTGGGGGAGCAGTGGTGTGCACCAGAGTACAATGGCTAGAAGCATATCCCAGCCAGGGCTCTGCCCCAAACCCAGAGGCTGGGGCACACCAGACCAAGACAAGGGCCCACCTGGAAAAGAGCTGCACAGGCACACAAGCAACAGCCAGAGGTTTGCCCCAATACAATCACTAAGTGTGTGAGACCCTAGCCAGAAGCTTGCTCACACAAACAGGAACTGGGCTGCACAGCCCCCAGCCAGAGACACTCCCAGACAACAGCTACATAGGGGCACTAGGCAGAGATGCACCTAGACACCATCCCAAGTGTGCACAAGCCCCACCCAGATGCCCACCCAGATAACAGGTCAGCTCAGGGATCCAGAAGGCAACAATTCTGAACCCAGGAATTAGTGTACTGGTGAGCAGCGGAGAAAAGGCAGCTCTGTGGCTTGCTGAGAATTGAAGAGCACTGGGTGAGCAAAAAATTGCCTCAACAAAGGCACAGCAGGCTGCATCTGTTGAAATGAGAAGACATGTAAACAAGGCTCAAAACCAGACTCACAGATCACCTAAGCCAACCCCAAAGGGAAAAGAGATGGAGCAATCTGATACTCAACCACCTGGACTCCCTAAACTGGCAACAAAAGAGGATCTGGAAATAATGAAATCAGAAATAATTTCTCAGATAACAGCAGAGATTGTGCCAATAATGCAAGACATGATTAATAAATCTAGAGAGGGCACAGATAAAAAAATAGAGGAGCTGAGGAACATGATGGAATCCAAACATAGGAAACAAATGGAATCTGTAAAACACATGAAAACAAATTTCCAGGAGATTAAAAACTCCACTGAAAGTCTACACAACAGAATGAGCCAATGTGAGGACAGAATTTCAGATATAGAAGATAAGATTGCAATTAGTGACCAGGGAAAGAAAAATTGCTTCAAAATTGTAAGGGAGCATGAGAAATGAATCCAGCAGCTGCTAGACGATACAAACAAGAATAAAATAAGACTGATCAGAGTCATGAAGAAACAGGAGAAAGTGCAGATGACATAAAAAAACTGTTCACAGAAGTGATGGCAGAAAACTTCCCAAGCAGGGAAAAGGAACTTGACATACAGATAAGTGAGGCATATAGGACTCCAGCTCACCTTGATCAAAAAAAAATCTACACATAGGCATATAATAGTTAAAATTGCAGAAACCAAACAGAAGAACAAAATTCTATAAGCGGTTAGAGAAAACAAACAAATCACATACAAAGGAAAGCCCATCAGAATCATAGCAAACTTCTCAACTCAAACCCTCAAGGCAAGAAGAGCTTGGAGTGAAGTATTTCAAGGTCTAAAGGAAAATAGCCTCCAACCCAGACTGATGTACCCTGCAAAACTATCTTTCAAAATTGATGGAGAAATAAGATACTTTCATGACAAAGAGCACCTTAGGAACTT